CCTAATATTCTAGGAAGAGAGATAAAACCCTCAAAACAAAGGATATCTGTGCATGCTCATACCCCTTATCAGGCATGAACTTTTTACTTCCTCCTAAACTCTAAGAGTCTCCATGAGACTTGCAACCAAGGGAGTAGCAGGCAGTGGCAGCTCATCGCAGGTTTACTTCGGACCCTGTCTCCAAGGCCCCCTTTTCTCCCACTTCCCAGTGAGATAACAGCCGCCCCTCCTTGTCTCACTTCTTTCCCATAAAGTTTCTAAGGAGTCAAAGCAGAGCACAGCGTAGGCTCTCTCCTGTTGCTTGTCTACTCTAAGTCCTCCCTTTGTGTCACTGTCCCAAGCTTTAGTAAATGTCCTCTCAAAATCACCTGGACTCATGTTGTGAAATCTTTGCTACATGAAGCCAAGAACCCACACTTCAGGCCAGTCTGAGACGGACCTGCTCTGGGCTGGTCCCTGTCTAGTAACAAAAGGACAAATCTGTTTCTTTTATGTCTCCTGGAAAAGATTGTTGTTACTCATTCAACTGTGAACACCACCATTCCTTATCACGGCAATATGAGGCGTGTCTCAGACAGAAAGCAATTAGGATGGGAAGTTATTAACGCAATAAAGGGTAAGTTCTCCTAAGATCCCAAATGCTCACCCAACTCTCAATACTCTGTAATGGAAACTGTTACCCACTAGAATGAATTATCAATTAAACTTTATCAACTATTTTCCTTTTGGGGATATGATCTGATAACTAAACAGCAAAAACTGTATTTTAAAGTTGAATAGAGAGCTTTATGCATAATAAAAGTTTTAAACAGAAATAATTCGCAGTAATTATATATATCAACTTATAAATATTCCATATATCAACCTAAAAATTTATTAAAAATCTAAAATAAAAATAATCCAACCAAACATAAAATTACTGTCTGATATTTAAGGACACCAGGAGGAATTAACAAAATAGACTTAGTATTAAAACATCCCAAATTTCCCAAACCTGATGTACAATTAAAAATGAAATCAAAGCTAAAATTAAAATTCTAGACTCTGTAGCAATAAATGTCAAGTATGTCAGTGGAGTAAAATAGACTGTATAAACTGGAATGCAATATATTTAAAACTTGTGGGACATGGTGAAGAATCTAATCAATGTACTTGTTTTACTATTTGTTCCTAAATATCACTAAAATAAATAAAAATAAACTAGCTAACAATCAATTTGAGAAGCTAGAAAAAGAATTACATTATAAATCTAAAAGTAATGAAAGCGACAACTAATGATAAAAGATCTTAATGAAATAATGAGCACCACTGGCAATAATAATCAAAAGCAGCAAAAATAATTTTTAGATGCATAATTTCTGGGGCTAGTGAAGGTATAAGGAGAAAACTTTCTCTTATGTTGTAATTCCAACACTTGAAACTAAATGCCTATAAATGTTCAACAATAAGGAAATGCTTAAGTTATAACTATTCTATATTATAAAACTTGTAGTCAATATTTGATTAAATGAGATAGTTTTATACGAACCACTATATATTACATTTCCTAACCTCATGCATACACATACCAACTTCAGTGTTGTTGCCATGTTCATGTACCTATTCTATGATTTTCTTAATTCATCTTTAAATCAACTCACTTTTAAAAATGTGGTTATTTTTATAACAGCAAAATCTTTGAAGTCACAGGTGTAATATTTTGGATAATGACTAAATTTTTCAAAGGCACTTCTAGCCCCAGTTACAGATAAGGAAACATAACCCTTTTAAGTACCTTGAGAGAACCTGTTTGAGCAGCATCCAGTTTAGGCACTCTCTGCACAGACCTGCCCCATTTGTGACCAGCCAGCCTCTTTCCAGAATGTCTACCTGAGGTTGGGTTGATGGAAATAGGGGCTCTTGTAGCTGAGCCAACCAACTGGGAACTGGCAAGAGCCAGACAAGTTATGGACAGCAATGGCTGAGGGCACCAGAGCAGCTGCCCACTTCCTTCTTTGTAAAGTGGGTTAAAAACACAGCAAGAGAAAGAGATGAAATTAAATCAAGACCAGATGTTTGTCTTCAATTCCGAGGAGGTACTTTCTCACAGTCCATGTAGGATCACTCTTTTCTGTGCCACAAGGAAAAAGTAGAGGACAAATGTTATAAACATTTGTCTTTTCTCAGGGAGATGCATGTGCCCTGCACTCGAAGGGAGCTTTTCCTAACTCCCCTGGCAACGTGGAAGGACCTCCCTTCCAACCTTAAAACAAAGAGTTTCCTGATTTTCTCGAGGGAGTAATAGCACCTCTTCAAAATAATCTAGGCACTTCCTCAAACACTAGAGGAGATCTGAGTCCCCCAGTTTTCTCCAACATTTCAAAGGCTTTGGACAAGCTTCTATTTAGGGATTGTGATATGTTATTTTAGGTTAAAATGATACTCATTTGCTAACTCATTCATGAGTCAGTAACAATTTCCTGCTCACTGACTCTATGAGATAGGATCATACTTAAAGCCCCAGTCCAGAGGTCAGGGAGAGGTAGTGATTAAGTGGACGAGAGGTCAGTGAGGGAACCAGAACAAGACTGCCTAGGATGGGTTTGCTAAATATAAAGTCCCCTATCCCCTCCAGAAAATCAGTTTCCCTGGTGCTGCTAGTGCCAACAGCTCCATCCTTTATCGTGTACAACGTATTAATTCTGTGAACGTACAATTGCTGCCAGTGGAAATCAGGCTCTTCTATGGGATTGCGAGGAAAACATTCCAATTACCCATGCACAGGTGATCATGGTGTGGCAAGGATTTTGGGGGGCAGAAATCTGTCCCTGGGTCTCCAACATACCATCTCCCTCCATCTTGCCTTGGGAAAATGTCTGACTGTCTTGGCCAAAGCAAAGCCAAAAAAAAAAAAAAGAAAGAAAGAAAGAAAGAAAAAACAAGTGTCCAGAATTTCTGCTTCATATTAAAGTTTAATCTTTCAGAGCCCACGTCATCTGCTGCAGGCTCCAGTAGCTGCTAGAACCACATAGTCATGTGCTCTCTGGTGACAGAGAATGTGTGAATGAACAGGGTGAGTGCAGGCCATGAGACAGAGAGAGAGAGAGTTTCTTAGTTCTCCTGATATTCTATTATCTTCGGTTTGGGACAGACCAGGTCCTTTTCCAAAATAACCAATCAGGTTCCCAAGTTTTTGCAGGCTTTCGATAGCTTCACACCCCTAAAGTAGACTGGCAGACCTCTATGACCAAGCACCTCCCATTGTGCCCCCTCCAACAACCTGGTACCAGACTGGGGAGGGAGGCGTGTTAATCCTGTTGGTGGAGCAATGCTGGAATCCCCTGGGGGGCGAAGCTGTAGCTTTCTGGTGAAGCAAACAGGCTTATGCTCCCCAGTTTATTAAACTCAACATCTAGTTCCCTTTGCTCTCTTTTTTATTAATAATTAGTTAACTACCTATGGTAATATAATGATCCCATAATATTCCTGAAGGAATGGAAGGAGGGTGTATGTGTTGCTGCCTAAAAGGGCAGAGTCTGGGTACATATGACAAAGCCTCTATCTTGAGGATGTTGCTTGTTCAAAATGCAAAACAAGTAGTATGCTTAAGTGAAATAAGCCAGGCAGTGAGGCAAATACCACATGATCTCACCTATAAGTGGAACCTAATCGATAAAACAATCAAGCGAGCAAAATATAACCAGAGACATTGAAATAAAGAACAAACTGACAGTAACCAGAGGGGCAGGGGGAGGGGAATAAGGGGGAAAGAAGGGGAAGGGTCGTCAAGGAATGTGCATAAAAGAACCATGGACAAAGCCCAAGGGGGGGTAGGATTGAGGGAGAAGGTGGGCGTAGGTGGGTGGTGGAGAGTGGTGGGAAAATGGAGACAACTGTGCTTGAACAACAATAAAAATAGAGTAAAATAAAGATATATTCTGCAATTATATTTTCAGTTCTCTTTGGGTTTCTGATGAGTACTGGCTATTTTTGCTTCAGGACTAGGCGTTCTTAATTCATCATCATACTCCTAAACTGATCCCTTCCCTCCTTTAAAAAAACTTGTTATATTATTTACCTTATAAAAAACAACATTACCTTATTATAAAGTAATTAAATCCATGCATTCTGGGATAGGAATGCTTGGTACAGATCCTGACTCTGTCATTTACTAGTTATGTGATCGTGGCAAGTTACTGAAAGTTTGTGTGCCTCAGTTCCCCTTACCTGATGAAGATAATATTCAGGCTTAACAGTGGAGAGTCGTGGTGAGGATTAAGTGAAAGAACCTCTCTGCTAGTTAATACTAAATAACTATTAACTGTTAATATTATTCACTCTGCTTTAATAGAAACCAGCACACTATCAGACTCTTTTCTTAAAAATTGTAGTTAGATTCTACTAGACTCTTTTAATATGCTTGTATTAAAGCAGATTATTCATTCTTTACTGGGCAGGAGTTTTAAAATTTTTACTCTAATAAATGTATAAAATTTTCCTTAATTTATCAAAGTATTTCAACTTTTTAGTTTATATTTCAGACATCTTACTTAATTTGATGTTATTTGCATTTAACAATTTTACATTCTCTACCATTATATATGCCCTTGCTAAATAATCTAAATAATAATTAAATTGCTTTGTAAACCTGAAAAACAACATTAGCATTATTGTTTCTATTCATTTCATTATAAAATTTTATTAATTCTCACATTGCACTCTACAGAAAATACAAAGTAAATGTCCATATTTAGGTAATTAACTGAAATTAGAAAATATGGAAAAGCCTTCCCAAGTCAAAAATGTGTATTTTATTTAAAATTCTGATTACTTTTATCTTTCTGATCACTTTTACAATATAATAAAGTTATTATGTAACACTTACCTTTATGCAACCTATGACCTGTAATCAGGCATGCTTACTCAGTGAAGAGTAGGTATATATACACAGGGAGAGAGAAGGTGATAGAAAGCCTCTTCAACAAACCGACACTGAGGCTAGGAACAACTCGAGAGGAAAGATGGTGTTATTCAGAGGCTCTGTCTTCCTTTTAGTCCTTTACCTGCTGCAGGGGTCCAATACTTCCTTTGTTCGGCTGAATGACAATGGCTATGAAGGCATTGTTATTGCTATAGACTCTGGTGTACCAGAAAATGAAACACTACTTGAACATATACAGGTAAGAAAAAATGGGATTTTCTTCTTTTGAATCATAGAAAAGGAACAAAACTTACTAGGTAATAATTATTATGAAAATTTCTGAATGCTCCAGGAAGTTACGAGCAGGTGTTATGGTGAGAACAATGCTGGCATGGACCGTGGAAACTGAAGGCTTTACATGAGATTCTCCCCTTTTCAATGTAAAATCAAATACAAGGCACAGGACTCTCCTGATCCTCAGCTTTTTCATCTGTAACTGCGCAGTTGGGCTTGTCTGTTCTTTTTACTTTTTTATTTTTTTTAATTTATTAACTTTTGGGGGAGAAAGAGAGAGATTTGCTATTCCACCTATTGATTCATTCATTGGTTATTCTTGCATGTGCCTTGACCAGGGATCAAACCCACAACCTTGGCATACTCGGACAATGCTCTAACCAATTGAGCCACCTGGCCAGGATTTGGACTTGCCTGCTGTTTGAACAATTATTGAATGTTTATAGCAGGACAACAGGGGATGAAAAGACTTTTCCCTCATGCAGTGTACTTTCTTTTTAAATGCAGGTAATAAAAACATGCAAACGTATAACAAGACAGTTGGTATTAAGTTGCTATGGAGCAAAATAAATCAGCAAAAGGGGGTAGGCAGTGCTGGTGGGGCAGAGCGAGGGGTAGGGCAGTCAGTGAAAGCCTTACTGTTAATGAGACCTCTAAGCAGAGACCTAAGATGAGGGAGGGAAGAGCCCACTGAAAATCTGGGGTAGGGAATAGAGGATGCAGGAGTACGGAGGTGGTAACGTTCTTGTTGACACCAGGGAAACAGCTGTAGGTGAGAAGGCAGAAGGGTGGGAGAGCTGAAGTCGGAGACGTAGCAGGGCCCAGGTCAGTGGAAAGACTTGGGCTGGTACTCGGAGTGGGATAGGAATCTACGGAAGGATTCTGAGCAGAGGAGAGGCGTGCTCTGCCATGCCTGTTGTAGAATCACATTGACTATAGTGTTGAAGAAACTCGGTAGAGGGCTTCCGCTTGTCACTAACCCTGTATAAGTTCTGCACAGCGTAGAGGTGTAGGGGGATACCTGGTTGGAAGCTGTTGTAGGTGAGAAGTGATGGTGACTTGGAAGAGGGATATTCCACTGGAGACCATCCCCTGTGATTCTGAACAGATTCTGAAGGTATCACAGACAAATTTGTTGATGGTTTAGATATATGTGGAGTAGGGGAAAGCAGAAGGGAAAGAAAGATAGGGCTCAAAGAAGACTTCAAGGGTTTTGGCCTATCTGCTTGGAAAGAGGGAATTATCATCAACTGGGAAGAGGAGGACGGGGGAGGGGGAGACTTAAGTGATTATTTGGCAGCTGAGATATCAGGAGTAAGACTGGGACATTTTGAGTTTGAGATGCTTATTAAATGCCCTCACAAATGGAAATAGGAATCAGAATTCAGAAGGAAAACCTGGGTGAGGATAAAAATTGGGGAGTCTCACAGGGGGCAATGTGTTGTGGGAAGCGCCGTGGTGGAGCACGGGGCTCCTAGATCTAAGGGTTACTGTCCAGAGCCAGCAGAGGAGAGAGTGGGGCTCTGAATCCCGCAGAGTCCATCCTGGGGTTGTCATGGATGGGGGGGGGAATAAACACCAGTCATCGCAAACACTTCTTGTTTGCCAGGAGAGGCAACATGTCTCTTCCCCCAAGGGGAGAGAAGGCCGTGAATCCCTGCATGGAAAGACTATTATTGAGAACATTTTGCACAGGGGTAAAGAGCAAAGCTCATCAATCAGTGTCAAAAGGCTATGTTTACAGAAAACAAATAGAGATCATAGGTAACAATTGGAGGAACACAAGAGATCTGCCTCAGGTCACGGTCTTTGAATAATGTAAATCTCCTTCCCAGTATGAACCCATAACATCGCTTTGGGGGAAGAGCAAGCGGGCTTAGAGAAACTTACTTCTAGAGAAACTCACTAATCAATAGGTGAACAAAACTTTACTCCAGAGATAATATCTGACCACAAAAAATTTTATGATGAATTGATTCATAACTTATGGCCTGAGATGTCAATTGTCAACTTTATTTCTGTATTCATGTGTCTTTTTAATTTGAGAGTACTTACTTTTAGAAACATTGACATTTTAATCTTCTTTGATCCAAATAGAATATGTGGGAATTCTGAGAAATAATTTAGAATGCTTATTATAGGAATTCTGCTTGAAAACCTGCAGGAACAATTACTGGCCACCCTAGTATGCCCCAGAGGTCACAGTCGTCTGATATAGGGTTTAGGAAATAGCTCTCTGACCTGAGACCATATCACTTCCCCAGGCTGTCCAAAGGGCCATGGAGACTCCAAAGTAAATGAAATACCTTGGAGTTATACAATGTACAACCCACACAACTGGATACAGCAACCCTGCATTTCCAGTTGGTACCATAATTCAAACCGTCATGTATACCTTTTTTAAATTTTTTGAGATAAAATTGGCATATTATATTAGTTTCATGTGTACAGTGTAATGATCTTATCTTAGTATATATTAGAAAACAGTCACCAAAATAAGTCTAGTTAATATCCATCACCATAACATAGTTTTTGTTGTGTTTCTCTCTTTCTTTCTTTTTTTTGATTCCACATATGTGAGATTGTACAGTATTTGTCCTTCTCTGTCTGAGTTATTTAACAGCAGAATGCCTGCAGGTTCTATTTGTGTTGTCAGAAATGGCAGGATTTCCTTCTTTTTTTATGGCTCAATGATATTCCACTGTTTATGTATACCACATCTTCTTTATCTAGTTATCCATCGATGGACCCTTAGGTCTTCCACATTTTGGCCATTGTAAATAATCTTGCAATGAACATGAGGGTACATATATCATTTTGAATTAATGTTTTCATTTCCTTTGAATAAATACCTGGTAGTGGAATTGCTATATCAAATACCAGTTTTACTTTTATTTCTTCAGGAACCTCTGCCCTGGTTTCCATACTGACTGCACCAATTTACATTCCCACCAACAGTGCACAAGGGTTCCCTTTTCTCCATATCCTTGCTTATTATTTCTTGGTAATAATCATTCTAACAGGTGTGAAGTGGTAACTCTTTGTGGACCTGCTTTGCATTTCCCTGATGATTAGTGATGTTGACCACCTTTTTATGTACCTGTTGGCCATTTGGATGTCTTCTTTGGAAAAATGTCTTTTCAGATCCTCTGCCCACTTTTTAATCAGTTTGTTGTTATTGTTGTTTTGTTATTATCTTTCCTTTTGGTGTCAAAACCCCATAAAATCACGGTCAAGATCAAATCAGGGAGCTTATGTTTCCTTCTAGGAGTTTTATGGTTTCAGGTCCCCCATTCAAGTCTTCGGTGCATTTGAGTTAATTTTGTACGTAGTGTAAGCTAGCATCCAGTATCATTCTTCTGCATGGGTCAGTCTAGTTTTCCCAACACCGTTTACTGAAGAGATGGTTCTTGCCCAACTTTGTCATAAATTCATTGATGATATATGTGTGGGTTTATTTCTGGATTTTGATTCTGTTCCATTGAACCTTGTGTCTGTTTTTATGCCAGTACCATAATCTTTTGACTACTACTGCTGTGTAGTATGTTTTGAAATCAGGGAGCATAATGTTTCCTGCTTTGTTCTTCTTCCTTGAAATTGCTTTCGATACCTGGGATCTTTTGTGCTTTCATACCAATTTTAGGACTGTTTGTTCTGGTTCTGTGAAAAATACAATTGGCATTTTGATAAGACTTGAATTAAATCTGTAGATTATCTTAGCTAGTATGAACATTTTTAAAAAATATAGTTTATTGATTATGCTATTACAGGGGTCTCAATTTTCCCTCTTTGCCCTCCTCTGCCTGGTACCACCATTCCCACCAGCAATCTGCCCCCCCTTTTAGTTTAGGCATATAGTTCTTTGGCTTCTCCTATACTATTCTTAACAACCCCTGTCTATTTTGTACCTACCAGTTATGCTTCTTAATCCTTGCACCTTTTCTTCCATTCTTCTCCTTCTCCCTCCCAGCTAATGTCTCCAAATGATCTCCATATCTATAGTTTTTTTCTTCTTCTTCTAGTTTGCTTAGTATTTTTTTAGAGTCATTGATAGTTGTGAATTTGTTGCCATTTTAATCTTCATAGTTTTGATCTTCTTTTTCCTAAATAAGTCCCTTTAACATTTCATGTAATAATGGCTTGGCAATGATGACCTCCTTTAACTTACCTTGTCTGGGAAGCACTTTATCTGCCCTTCCATTCTAAATGATAGCTTTGTTGGATAGAATAATCTAGGTTGTAAGTTCTTGCTTTTCATGATTTTGAATACTTCTTGCCAGCCCTTTCTTGCCTGCAAAGTTTCTTGTGAGAAATCAGCCGATAGTCTTATGGGAACTCCTTTGTAGGTAACTCTGTTTTTCTCTTTCTGCTTTTAAAATTCTCTTTATCTTTCACCTTTGGCATTTTAATTAGGATGTGTCTTGGTGTGGTTCTCTCAGTTCAACTTGTTTGGGACTCTATGTGCTTCCTGGACTTGTATGTCTATTGCCTTCACCAAATTAGGGAAGTTTTCTTTCATTATTTTTTCAAGTAAGTTTTCAATTTCTTGCTCTTCCTCTTCTCCTTCTGGCATCCCTATGATTTGGATGTTGGCATGTTTGGAGATGTCCCAGAGGCTTCTTATACTATCCTTGTTGGTTTGTTTTTTTAATTTTTTTTTCTTCTTGCTATTCTGGTTGAATGCTTATTTTTCCTTATGTTACAAATCATTGATTTGAGTCCTGGCTTCATCCCCTCCACTGTTGGATCCTTGTAGATTTTTTTTCATTTCACTTAGTGTGAACTTCATTTTTTCTTGTGTCATTTTCATGTTGTTGCCATACTCAATGAGCATCCGGGTCACAAGTGTTTTGAACTCAGCATCTGATAGTTTTGTTATCTCCATTTCTTTTAGTTCTTTTTTCTAGAGTTTTGTTCTTTTCTTTCATTTGAGCCATATTTCTTTGTCTCCTAACTTTAGCAGCCTCCCTGTGTTTGTTTCTGTGTCTTAGGAAGAGCTGCTTTAACTCACTGTCTTACTAGGGTGGCCTATGCTGGTAAAGGCACCTGTAAATTGTGTGGTGAAGAGCCTTAGGGAATCACCAGGGAGGGGAAACCAGCTTCACCACTTTCTGGCTCTGTGTAGGGGAACAGCTTGAAGGGGAGATGATGTTACTGCCTGGCTTCTGGAGGTTTGCCTGTCATTTCACTTATTCCCTGTATTCAACTAGTGCCCTTTAAGCTATTGCCTTGGTTCTGAATCCCAGAGGGAGTGGGTCTGCAAAGGATCTGAGTCCATGTGAGCCCTTTAAGCAGAGTCTCCTGAAAATCCTGCCATTTTTTCTGCTGCCCCAACTCCCTCCCTGGTTTTTACAGCCAGAAGTTATGGGGATATATCTTCCCAGCACTGGACCCCTGGGCTATGTGGACTCACCTATGATTGGGATCCCTTGCTCCAGAGGTATTCCTCCCGATTTTCATCCACCATGGGCATAAATGAGGGACTGACTGTTCTACCACCGCTGCCCACCCCCTGGCGCCACACCACATCTCCATGCCTCTCAACCCAACTCTGCATCTCCCACTCCTACCCATCTGGTTGAATGTGGTTTATTTAAATCCTTGGTTATGGGACTTCCATATAGCTCAATTTTTTGACAGTTCTGGATGTTATTTGTTTTGAAGTCTAGTTGTAATTCTTTCTGTGGTTGCACAAGGAGGCAAAGCATGTTTACCTATGCCTCCATCTTGACTGGAAGTCTGAATATTTTAACATTATTGATTCTTTTAATCCATTATTATGAAATATCTTTCCATTCTTTTCTATATTATTCAATTTCTTTCATCAATGTCTTACCTTTTAAGTGTACAGTAATTTTACCTCCTTGGTTAAAATTATTTCTATGAATTTTATTTTTTTAGAATTGTAAATAGGATTATTATCTTCATTCCTCTTTCTGATAGTTCCCCTCTAGTGAACAGAAATGCAACATATATTTTGTATCGATTTTGTACCCTGAAACTTCCCTGATTTCCTTTATAAGCTCCAACAGTTTTTAGGGGGATTCTTTAGGGTTTTCACATATAATATCATGCCGTCTCCAAAGAGTGACAGTTTTACTTCATCCTTTCTGATTTTGATGCCTTTTATTTCTATTTCTAGCCTAATTGCTCTGGTTTGGGCTTCTAATACTGTGTTGAATAGAAGTGGCAAGAATGGACATACTTGTCTTTATCCAGATTATGAAGAAAAAGTTTTCATATTTTCACCATTGAGTATGATGAGTCAGAAAAAGGCATTGAGAGCTCCCTTGATGTTAGCTGTGGGTATCTCATATATGGCCTTCATTTTGTAGTGGTATGTTGCTTCTATACCTACTTTGTTGAGAGTTTTATCATAAAAGAATGTTGATTTTTCTCAAATGCTTTTTGTTTGACTTGCAAATGTTAAACCTCCCTGCATCTCTGGAATAAATACCGCTTGATCATGGTGTATGATCATTTTAATGTATCATTGAGTTCAATTTACTAATAGTTTATTGAGAAGTTTTGCATCTATGTTCAGTAGGGATTTTGGCCTGTAATTTTATTTTCTTGTGGCATCCTTATCTGGTTTGGTGTCGAGATAATGTAGTTCTCATAAAATGAGTTTGTAAGTGTTCCTTCCTCTTCTATTTTGGGAAAATTTGAAAAGAACTGATATCAATTCTTCTTTGAATGCTTGGTATAATTCACCAGGGAAATTGTGTGGTCTTGGGCCTTTTCAGCGGGGAGAGGTCGATTACTGATTTAATCTCTTTACTAGTAACTGGTTGGTTCAGATTTTCTATTTCTCCATGATTCAGTCTTGGTATATTGTATGTTTTTAGGAATTTTTTCCATTTCTTCTAGGTTGTCCAATCTGTTGGCATATAATTTTTCATAATAGTCTCATAATCCTTTGTTTTCTCTGATATCACTTGTAACATTTCCTCTTTCACTTCTGATTTTATTTCAGTCCTCTCCCTTTTCTTCTTGGTGAGTTCAACCACCATATACATTTTTATCTCACAGGCACAGAGAGAGCCATCACTTCAAGCAGAAGGTAACAACTCATTGAGACCTATATATAACAAAACCAAAAAGAAAGGGGAGATACATTTAGGGAACAGGTAGAAAATTCTTACATCTGCTTTAGGCTAGTGAAGAAGTAACCTGTAACTTACCTTGGGAACTCTCAACACCCTTTTCCTGACTCTCAGCTAGGCCTTGGGCCTTCAGTTCTCTGATTTAATGGCTCTGTTCCCTTCAGTACATATGAGTCAGCACAATGGCCTGTCTTCAACAGAAAAGAGATGAGAACCCTGGAATTCCTGAAGAAGGACCGTTTTATTCTGGGCTTATACTAGGCCAGGGAGTATCATAGAGGAGAAGAACCTGCCTTGAAGAAAACAGCAATATAGAATGGAATGTTGCCAACAAGATGAAGAGGTTGACATTATCAGCTAGCACCTAGAATCTCTCAATTATTCAGTGGGTGTGCTCATGTAGATTAAATTACCATAAAGCCTTTTCTTCCATCCTTTCCCCCCATTAGATAGTAAGGTCTAGGGTGGGACTATTTCTCTTATTAATCATTGGATTTTGGGGTTCCAGATACTGAACAATATGGGATGACATTGTTTTCACCTTAGGAGCAAAGCACAAGTCCTGTAGTAGAGGGAGCAAAGCTCTACCTCTACTACAACCTTTTCCACCACCCTGCCCCCAGGCTCCAGTCCAACACAGCTGCTTCCTCCACATGGGGAATGGGTGTGTAATGAAAAACTTCTCTTGGGACCCATGGCTACAGAATGTTCTGAGCTTGCACCAGTTAAGACTGTTCTCTACTAGATTTATACACAGTAATGCTATCAACCAGTTTTATGCCAGTCTATGTGTAGAGCACTTTATACCTCATTTCCTATTTATGCCAACTTTAAAGATAGGTAGTAACAGTACATTTAAGAGATGAGAAACTAAGCTCCAGAGTGTTATGTAAATTGGCCACGGACTATCAGCCAGGAAGTGCTAATGCCACCATTGGGCCAATTAGGTGATTTTAAAGTCTATGCTCTTGATCATCTTACTCAATTTCTCTTGACACCAAATAGAAATATTTGCCTATTGATGAAGAATTATACTCAAAACCTTTAAATGTGCAGGCCTAAGCTATAATTTCAGATTGAAAGGTAGCAGAGTTGGAATTCTGAAGCTGAGACTCAGCTCTCTAGTCAGTTGCTGCTTCTATCCACCCTTAACCTGGGAAATGCCTGTGATGAACCTCTGCTCATTTAGCTCACTCTCACTTGGCCATCCTCACATAATTTTTCGTTTTATAACAGGACATGGTGACTAAAGCTTCTACTTACCTGTTTGCGGCCACAGAGAAGAGATTTTTTTTCAAAAATGTATCAATATTAATTCCTGACACTTGGAAGGAAAACACTCGGTACCAGAGACCAAAACATGAAAGCTATGAACACGTAAGAGTCAAAAAACTTATCTTAAAATATTATATTTTCTGGTTCTTCTCCACTGTGCTGCAAATTCTTTCAGAGTTTTCCAGCCTAAATGTTATCATTTATGTTTCTAATGTTTTAAAAATCTTTTTAAACACTCTCAGGCTGATGTTTTAGTTGCACCACCTACAATACCAGGTAGAGATGAACCATACACCAAGCAGTTCAGACCTTGTGGAGAAAGAGGAGAAAACATTCATCTCACCCCTGGCTTTGTACTTGGGGAAAAACAAAAGGAATATGGACCAACAGGTAGGAATTTAAGTTAACATATATTTTGTGATGATTCCAAAAAGCAGCTGTGTGCCCAGGTTAAGTGTACAAGCCTTAGAGCTCCCCTACATATTAGCTGTGTGACCTTCAGCAAGTGAACTAGCCTCTTTGAGCTTATTCCCTGTAAAAAAGTTGAATAGAGGAGTTACTACTTGATCGAATTGTTGTGAATGTTAACTTAGATAATCCATGTAACTGTACCCAGTAAAGTGTCTACAGAAGTTTGAACACAGAACAACAGTCATAAATCTTTTTCTTAGAAACCAGTTTTCAAATCTTAACTTTCCACTTCTCCACAGCTGGATGCTAATCAATCACATGCCATCTTGATGGAGGGCAAATGCATGAAAAGCTGAGAAAAACCAAGATGACAGTTCCTGGCCAAAGAAAATCACTCATGGGCTGTAGTTGTTGATATTATTACTTAACCTATTCGGTTGAACAAGATGTGCTTGTCTATTTGTGATCATTTTTACCTATAAAAATGGCAATTTCATCTAGTTCAACCTAAAAGTTAAGGTCATTGTTTCAAAGGAATTAAAGCACATCATTTCACATGTCACTACACAGGAAAACATTCCTGAATCCACATACCCAAGATTACTACTCCTTCTTCCAATGTCCATTCAGTGAGCTTTCATTAAGCCTCTGGTGTCTGTCGCTCAGTTAGCTCTGGTTCTCATCATTACCTGAACCTGCTTCCCACCCCAGCCTTGAAAGCGCCATCATCTCTTCTCATCCCATTTAGTTCTCCCCCATACCTTAGTATAACCGTGTTTGTTCTGCGTGGCACCTCTAATCTTTTGCTCCCTTACACCTTTAATTTTTCCCCACCTGGCATGTCCAGCAAAGTATAAATAGCTCAAGTTCCTCACCATTTTTATCCTTATGTTTCATTCAGCTGGCCAAATCCTCTCTGCTGAATTTCTAGCTAGTTTCTGTTTACTCCTGTTAATGTTTCCAAGACTGTGAGAGAAAATTACAAAATTAATTGGTATCATTACAAAAACACATTTTTCAAACTTAGTGAAACCCTCAAAGCTTCACACAATGTTGTACTTGCCTCTTTTCAATTCCCTTTCTCATTCCTCAGCAACCGTTTTAAAACCTCTACCATTTTTCTCAAGATCTCCAGCTACTTCATTCAGTATCAGTCAAGAGGTGCCTTGACTGAGAAAATAGAACCCGTACCTTTTCCTTCTCTACTTCCAAACCCATGCCCACCTCCACCTATCTAAAACGAGGAGGGTTTTCTCCAATTTTTAAAGATAACATCCCCTCTTGAGCTCTTGCTCTTTTCTCGTACCCTTCACCCCAGCCCTATTCTATAACTGAGTTTGCCCCTCATACTTAGACAGAGGTTTCCTCTGTATGTGTCTGTGAAAAACTCACATTCTGAAAAAACTATTTTCTAACAACAACAAGGCTCTTGAAAAACAAGATTAAGAACACAGTCTTCAAAATATATGCACTTTGTAATAAAATGATAACAGCAACAACAATAGGTACTGGGAAAGATCATTTGAACCAGCCTGGCAGTAGCTCAGGCTGGCTGGAGGCTGCCATCGCGGTAGATATTAAAAGGACACACACAAAGAGCAGAATGCTATCTATTAGAAACGAGAACAGGCCCAGTGGGAAGTGAGACAATGACGTACCTCATATTTCCAGCTTCCCCTTCTCCATTTCTATTTCCTTGAAGTTTTCCTAATATTAATAAAACAAAAATTCTACTTGTTTTTTCTTCCATCAAGCTGTGGATTTACCTTTATTCTTCCATTTACCCTGAAATTCTTAGAAAAATAATTTTTTTATTCTGACTCCCTCTCTGTAAGTTTATCCTACTAAAGGGATATATCTCACTCACTTTATATGTCCTAGTACCTAGTATAGTGTTAAGTATATAATTAATATTAGTTGTTTTCATATATTAATATTTACATGTGCTTAGTAATACAAATTAATCCCTTCATTTAGATATCCTCAACATTATATACGGTCTATAGCAGTGTTTTCAATCTTTTTTTTTCATTATTGATTCGCCAAAGGAACATTAATAGACATTTTTAACATTTAATTGAAATTTTAGTACCACAAATATTACATATCAGTTCATGTTGTTAGTTGGAGTGAACTTTGCAGAACCAAAAACTATTATAATATCTAACACTTTTTGTCCCCCACCCCCAAGATCCAAAACCTACAGCCCAGTCTATTTCATCCATAGAATATACATTTAAACATACTAAATGTTTTGTTGAGTTCACATGTCATAGAATTAAAAGATAATATATTATATATCATATTGCAATTCAAGATAATACTATGTGCTTTGTTACAAACAAAAATATAAATATTGGCAGTTATTTAACACCTAAATATAATGAGAACATTTCTTAAAATATGTGAAGGACAAGCTTTGTCACTTGAATTATGATCATGTATTTGAAATATTTCCCACAGGTAGACTGTTTGTCCATGAGTGGGCCCATCTCCGCTGGGGAGTGTTTGATGAGTACAATGAAAAGAAGCCTTACTACCGTGCTGCATCAAAAAAAATTGAAGCAACAAGGCATGAGCATTTAAATTTTCTAAATTACTTCAGGCTGTAACTTTCTATTTGCCTTAGTTTGATTTACTTGAAGTACCAATCATTCATTTTGTCCCAATGCAGGTAATAGATGCTCTATCACGAAACAGTGCTTTTCTGGTTTTTTGTTTTGTTTTGTTTTTAGAAAATGTATTTCCAAGTAGCTGGTTGCCCATTTAAAATACAGATAACTTCAGGAACATGTGGAAGCCAAGGTGACATATTTCTATACCTGTCCAGCACAGCTGCCAGAACTCATTTACACTGAAGCTGTGCTCTGTGTAAAGTCTTGTACTACATGCTGAGAGATCAAAATTATTTACATTGAATAAGAATGGAAAATGTTGTTACTAAATAGTGGTAACTTCCAGCTGAGTAAAAAAATCAACCAGCTCCAAAGAGACAAACAGGAAGTTCTTAGGAGTTATGAAATTCATTTTAAAATACCAATCTGACATCACAGTTAATAAAAGACAACGCTTTTGGTTCCGAGGTCAAGAGAGCGGAATGGGTGGAGGAAATGTACAAACTCAAATATTGCATGAGTTCAATGAAGGTCCTTTATCAGATCATAGTACCAGTTTCAGGACACATATTTTAAAGAGTGTTCCATTGAGTACATTTGTTTACATCACATTCCCCCTAAATGTCTAGTTTCTACTGCAGAAAAGTCATCATGATTGTTAATATAGATAACATTATATTCACTGAGTTTTGGGGCAGTAGAAGCATACATATATGTAGAAGACTCCCTAAATGACGCAGTAAAAGCTAGTCATTGTTTCTTAAATATGAACTGGAAACACATTGAAAAGATGGGATATATTCACATCCCAGCATGTTGGTTATAATTACTGCCACCTGTGGTCAATTCCATGCACTAAAACATATGTGTAAAGTGTCTCCACCATTCTTTACTGTCTAGGCAGCACCTCAGTCTTTCCTTCAGGCCATATTTCACTTTGGATAAAAATGCTCCTTGACTAATCAAAACACTTGTAACTATGCCACATCGCCTTCTTTTGGAGATACCGTCTTTGAAAAATATCTATGAAGAACAAGTTAAGGTGGTACCATGAGTAACCGGTTTCACAAGTTGCCTTGCCCAGGTGCGGCGAGGCATTTACTACCACAAGGCTATGGGGAGAGCTGTTTGGAAAAGGGGAGGCTCCAGCCATTAGGGTAAGCAGGTCAGCAGCAAGGTTAATCTTCAGCAGATAACTCAGCCATTGCATATGCTGGAGACACCACTTAAAATTTCCCTCTGAAATTTCTTGGAAAACTGCACTGGTAGAAATTCTTAAACTTTGCTGTCAGATAAGAATAAAAACCTTGATGTAAGGATTCCTGAGAATAGAGACACTTAAGATTTTCAAAAAATGTTAATGGTTAGGTGGATCAAAGACTGACTGTCACATATTTTCAGGTGTTCCAAGGGTATTACTGGTGTGAACAGAGTTTATAAGTGTCAAGGAAACAGTTGTGTACCTAGGCCATGCAGATTTGATTCTAAGACAAAACTGTATGAAAAAGATTGTCAATTCTTCCCTGATAAACAACAAATTGAAAAGACATCCATAATGTTTATGCAAGGCATTGACTCTGTAAGTATGTCATACTTCATATTGTATATTTATAATCAAAGTACGTGTTATCATGTTTACAAAATATCTGTGCGGGTGACCTGGATGATAAGATGTATTGATGTAGAATTCTTTGAACATTGACTGGCACATAGTAAGCACTCAACCACTCTTACTTATTATTACTATTATTGAAAATTTACCTTACTAGTATATGATTCTTTAATGAATCATATTTCATTAAATAAACAGCATACTTGCAGAGCAGATTTTTATCAAATTTGTAGTTAAATTTTTTAATGCACTGTATATAAAACTTATTACTTTCATTTTAATAACATTCTAGGTTGTTGAATTCTGTAATGAAAAAAACCATAACCGAGAAGCTCCAAGTCTACAAAATGAAAAGTGCAATTACAGAAGCACCTGGGAGATAATCCGCAATTCTGAGGACTTAAAAAACACCAGGCCTATGGCGGAATCACCCCCTTCCCCTGTCTTCTCTTTGCTGAGGGTCAGAGAAAGAACTCTGTGCTTCGTCCTTGATAAGTCTGGAAGCATGAGGGTAAGTCCATGGGCCCATTTTTTTCTAGATATAGTGACTAGTGGGTGGGTTAAAAGCCTGAGGACACTCAGAACAGCACCTTCAGCTGGGCTGTTAAACTCCATGGTGGCAAAAGTCCCATCATGTCCTGCGATCATGACCTCGGGGTGGGCAGTGACTATTTTAATGAAAAAAGGATGGCAATGGAGTCTGGAAGTCCTCACCTGAGAGTCTCTTTCTTTTTTCCCAGAAAATGGAGGGTTTACTTAGGAGGACTTTTAGGCCTCTTAGTAAAGATTTAGTTAGAAGGTCAGAACAAGAGATTAAAATACTGAAGCGTTTTCTTATCTGCCCCCTTTATCTACTGGAAATATTTGACAAACATGAGGATAAAGTAGATTGCTGAACTCCATTCAGAGTCAAGTTTATTCATCATCTACATAAATGACCTCTTAATGATCTAAGATCATTAAGCATAATGATAACAAAAAGCATCACCATAAGAAAAATATGGTCAGACTGAATAGCCACTCATTACTTCTACTACCACTTAGTAAATGGTGGGCATGGTGCTAGGCTTTAGCGTGTTCACATAGAGGAAACTTCCCCTTCCCCATTACCTGTTAACTCATACTCTTCCTTCAAAATTTGGTACAGGCACCCACCTCCTCCAGGACAGGGACTGGTCTTCCAGGCTGGGGCTAAAGGCCCTTCTGCTGGTCTCCCACATAAACTGTGCAAACCTCTATCACTGTATATTGTATTGAACTTACACATTTCTCTCCCACTAGATGAGGTGCTCTTCTAGGAACCACATCCTCTAGTACTTGAAACCACGTCTTATTCATCTTTGTCTCCCTTTTACCTGGAGCGAGGTTTACCACATATAGGTGCTCAGCGAATAATTATTGAAATAAATGGACTACAAAAGAGCAGACATAATGTGATAAGGCACCCAGGAGGATGGCTCATTTGAGATAGGACTGAGCACGCTGAGGATCAGAGACTACACACTCAACAAATGGGGGGATGTGTGGTTACTGAAAAGGGCAGAGGATAATCCACAGTAGCACAGGGTTTCAGAAAGAGCATCAGTGTTAAACACCAGCACATAGAAATGTTCTAGGAGGTGTCGTTGGGGAGAGATGACAGAGGCAGGATTAAAGGTAAAGCAAAGTGGCAGGAAGAGCCCTCAGAGATGGGGATGTGGAAGTCTCTCACTGTGACCTGGATCTAGGGAGTTCAGGAGGAAATTTGGGCATGTGCTAAGGAGGGGTACTACAGATAAGCTGGTGTTGAGGGACTGGAAAAGACAAATGTATGAAGGGACTTACATCCTGGGCACTCACCTAGGTAAGAGGGATGTGAGTCTCAGTGGGTTACCAGAGAACCAATTCCAATTAATCCATTGGTGGAGAAATGATGGGGAGAGGTTAGGAGCAGAAGAGATAGGAATGGGGCCTCTCTGAATTCAGCTGCAGCTCAAGAAGATTTTAAATTTTAAGTTGTTTAGTCTCCAGTGGAAATGGAAATTTCAGCCTCTAGTTGGAATCCTGAGAGTCTGGTTCGACATTGTGGGACCTAACAAGTGGTTTCATCTTCATACCAGAGGACTAATTAGGCAGTCTCTGAGGTGGGAATCATCACCCTGCAATTCCAACCCAACCCATGAACCTGCACCTGTACTTTGGGTGCTAAGCAACCACAAATCACTTCTAGTTAAAAGCCTATGTTCCTTACTATACTATATGAGATCCATAATGCACATAACTATATGTTTAAATGTTATCAATTTAAATATTACTTTCTTTAATAACACCAAAGACTAATACTAGAAAATTCTTTTATTCATTGTATGTAAACTGCTATCATTTTCCCATCATAATCACTTGGTTGTTTTTCTTGTCCTTGTTCATTCAGAGTGCCGATCGACTAAATCGAATGAATCAAGCAGCAAAATTCCTGCTGCAGATTATTGGAGATGGAACCTGGGTGGGGATGGTGCACTTTGATAGTTCTGCCTCCATTAAAAGTCAGCTGGTCCAAATAATAAGCACCAAGGAAAGAGACAAGCTCTCGAATCTCTTGCCTACAGTTGCTAGTGGGGGAACTGATGTCTGCACTGGAGTAAGATCAGCATTTCAGGTGAAGTTCATACTGCATCTAGAGTTTGTTTGGATTTTTTTAAAGATCTTATTTATTTTTAAAGAGTGGGGTGGGGAGGGAGAGAGGGAGAGAAACATTAATGTATGGTTGCCTCTTGTTTGCCTCCTACTGGGGACCTGGCCTGCAACCCTGGCATGTGCCCTAGACTGGGATTTGAACCAGTGACTCTTCTGTCTCCAGGCCGGCACACCATCCACTGAGCCACATAAGCAGGGCAAAATGTCATTCACTTTTAAGGCAATGAAACAAGTTATATGTTATGATAATACTGTAGGCCAATCCTCATTTCAGTTTGTGACATTCAGTTAGGACAATAAGATTTTTACCTATTAAAGCAGATGTAGCAGGGACTGTTAGTTCTAGGGTAAGAAACACCGGTGAGAACCTGAGTTTTGACATCAGAATATTGACTGCTATATACCAGCTATGTGATCTTAGGCAACGTTTTTAGTATCTCAATGACTTATCTATAAAATATGGGAAAATAAGAGTGTCTAGCTCATAGGATGAATATGGAAATTAAGTGAAGTAATATATTCACAATATGAGAACAATGTTGTATTATATAGTAAATATATAATTCACAAATATTATCATAAATCTTATGATTTCCAAATGTTCATCTTGAGTTTATAATTAGTATCAAATGTGTCATTTTCCCCCTTAGAAATCTTCACTTTCCCCTCACAATCCATAAAATTAAGTCTGAATTCCTCAGTCTGATGTTATTCAAAAGCCTCTCACCCCCTCAGTAAAACTGCTCCCATCTCTCTTTCCAGCCTTTTCTCTCATTTCTCCCTCTCTGATGCTCTGTGCTCTATCCAATTCACTGCACACATTGTCGCCCAAGCACACCATGTACTAATAGCCTCCATATCTTTACCCAGGCAATTCCTCTGCCGAAAATGTTTCATTCTTTCCATCTTCGCATGCTAAGATTCCACCTATTCTTCAAAATCCCTGCCCGTTCTTGTAGTATTTCCTGTTATTCTCCAAACTATTAAATCTCTCTCACTTATGAATTGCATAACATTTTAGTGTAGCTTTCTAAAATGAAGCCCTAGGTTAAAATGCAAATTACATTTACTAGCTTTGCAACACTAAGCATGATTGTTCGTCTCTGTAGTCATCGATTACCTCATTGGTAAAAAGGGGTAATAAAAGCTAGCATGCAGGGTTTTTCCATGTTTTAATTTATTCAAGATATATTTATTGTAGGAAGTAGGGGGCAAACGTATAATATACCATAATTTATTCAACATATTTATGCACCAAGCAAAGCTTCTCTGTTCTTGTTGTGCATGTGATTTCTGTAAGGAGCTGAAATCGATAAATAAATGAATAGAAACAGTAATGGTAGGGAGAGAAGACAGTGCTGTAAGGAAACCAGACAGTGTGATGAGACAGGGTAACTGCGAAAGCAGGGGCTCTGCCTACTTTAGGTGGAGAGGCCACTGAGACCCTCTCTGAAGGGTGACAGTTAAGCTCTGATTTGAAGGATGGGAAAGAGCCTTTGGTTCAGGCAGAGAGGAAAACACAAAGTCCCTTAAGAGAGAGGTGGAAAAGAATGGGATTATTCTAAGAATTGATAAAGCTAGAGGTATTGGAGTTTGGCAACTGAGGGGATATGAAATGTAGTTGGCAGGTAGATAATGGCTAGATCTTTCAAAGACTAAAAATATAAGAGGTTTTTATTTTGAGCCCAACAGGAAGCTACTGAAGGGTTTTAAGTATCAGAGATTGATCATCAATTCATGTTTTAAGAAGACATCTCTGGTTGTCCTGTATAAAATAAACCATAGGGAGTAAGAGCAGTAGTAGGGTGGTGGTCTAGGGATAGATTGGGAGCTTGGATTGTGTAATTAAATTACACATTGTATAAAATACGTTTAACACTTAGCCAATGTTTCAGAAAATGCAGCACTATAATACCGTGTTGTTTCTCTTGAACTACAGAATATGTTGTCTTTGTCACTCACTCTGTATATCCTCAGTCCCTCACCTCTATCTCAAAGAATATTTTTTAATTTAATCGTTATTGCATTTTTTACATTATATCCCCTCACCCAGCAATCACCACACTGTTGTCCATGTTCATGAGCCCTTTTTCCTTTTCTCTCAAACCCTCCACTCCCTAACCTCCCCCCACCCAACTAACTGTCATCTGTTCTCCATCTATTTTTAACCCATTTTTCTTGTCAGTTCAGTTTTTTCATTAGATTCCACATATAAGTGAAATCATTTGGTATTTGCCTTTCTCTGACTGGCTTATTTCACTTAGCATATGCTCTCCAGGTTCATCCATACTGTCACAAAAGGTAAATTTTTCTTCTTTTTTATGGTTGAGTAGTATTCCATTGTGTAAATGCCTCACAGTTGTTTTACCCACCCATCTACTGATGGACACTTGGGCTGCTTCCATAGCTTGGTGATGGTAAATAACACTGCAATGAACATAGGGGTGCTTTCCTTTATTTGAATCATTGTTTTGGGTTTCTCTAGATATATTCCCAAAAGTGGGATCACTGGGTTATAAGGCAGATCCATTTTTAATTTTTTGAGGTATCTCCATACCGCTTTCCACAGGGGTGGCACCAACATGTAAAAGTGATCCCCTTTCTCCACACCTTCACCAGCATTTGTTTGTTGATTTATTGATGACAGCCATTCTGACATGTGTGAGACGGTATCTCACTGTGGTTTTAATTTACATTTCACTGATGATTCAATACATATTTTTAAATTTCATTCCATTCTTTCCAGGAATGCAGGAACCATGTAGTTCCTGTTGAATCCCCAGCTGCCAGGACAGTGACTAACACACTTAAGTGCTTAGTGAATAACTAATTACAAGAAAGGAAGAGGTGAAGAAGAGAGAAATCTGCTTCATCTTTGGCTCTTCATTTTGCACTGAAATGTGTAGGGAGAATGTGACGGTGATGCAGTAATTGTATAAAAGCATTTCCTATTTCTCAGTCCCAGTTTATTAGGGATTTTTACATTCCAAACCCTTTTCTGCAAATCTACACACACCTCCACTCCAAGTTCATGAAAGTCACTGAAAACTCCTGTCAGTTTTTCCCCTGGGCCTGCACTGACTTTCTCCACATGATATACCAAAAACCCACTACCAATTGAACCTGTCAGAGAAGATGGAATATAGTTGCTATCCTGTGACTAATTCCCTTTATCCTTTTTTACAGGAGCCTAGATTCAGAAATATGAGTTTTACAGGAAAAGGATTCAAGCCACAAAGAGAATTCCATCTCAATAAACATAATTCATGTATTCTCTGAGCACCACCAATAAACTTAGTTTTATGCTTGTTACTCTTAGGTGTAAAATAAAGTTACATAACAAGAGCCCTAATCTTGACCTGCTTAGAATTTTCTATATCATTTCTCAATAGGCATATTGAGGGTTCCCTAATTTGAAATCATTAATATTATTTTAATGTTTAAGTAGTTTCTTAATGCATTTAGCTGTCTATGCAACAACTTTTATACAAAGTCTTGCCAGAGAGAGGTCTGGTCAAAGAAATGAGAAATATTTAATGCTACTCTGCAATTACATTTTTAGTGCCTGGTTGACCTGATTTCCCTAGATTGAGAGGTCATTGTTAACTTAACCCAAGTAGGATGTTCCAAAGCCCTGCTCCCATATAACTTCACTTGGGCAAATATTCCCTACAGCAGGTGGACAGAACATACAGTCACGTTTAACTTCCCTTAAGGGCTGTTGATTACAGATTGTATAATTTGAAAATAGGAGCTACCTCTTTTTTTCTGCGTATTTTTATTTATTTTCTCTGTACATCTTTTTCTAACCTCCGATAAGTCTCCTTCATCTAGGAGTATTTTGTGATTACACTCTGATTATGTTCACAGGTAATTAAACAGAACAACTCCCATACAGACGGATCTGAAATAGTGCTGCTGACCGACGGGGAGGACAGCTCTGCAGGGACATGTATTGATGAGGTGAAAGAAAGTGGAGCCATCATTCATTTTATTGCTCTGGGACCATCTGCTGATAAAGCAATCACACAGATGAGCAATATAACAGGTAAAATATGGCCTATAGATCCTAGTCGTTTAATAGCCTTGCGTAAGTGTAGAGACTGACAACTCAACTTCTTTTCGGCCCTTAAGGCACTGTGCCAGGAGCTAGGGACCAGAGTTAAACCAGACCTGATCTCTGTTTTCAAGGTTCTCAGAGTCCAGCTGGCTAGAGGGACAAAGAAGTCTACTAATCAGGTAGCATAATCAGATAACATTCCTCAATTACATGGGGATTATGTATGAGTCCAACACTGTGTGAGCAGAGGAAGCCACTAATTCTCCCAGGGTTGTGTAAGTCAGGGAAAGAAGGCATGAGAGACCAGGAGACTTCTGAGCTGTTTCTTGAGCTGGGTCTTGAACAAGATGTTGAATTTCTCTGGAGGAAAAGGGGTAGAAGAGATGATCAGGTCATAGTAAAAAAAAAAAAAAAAAAAATCATGTAGAGATGAGGATGCAATGCATGTCGGGGGATAGTAAGAAATCCATGAGACCAAAGTTTACTTAGGCTGCAGGTTAGGGGGAAAATGGGATTAACAGAGGCTCAGGCTGAACAGATGTAAATAACAAAGAAGTTTAGGTAAACATTTACTAAGGTACCTGTTATCTTAGATACTGAGACATGTGATGAAAATGGACTACATGTTTTCAGTGCCTTCTTAAATATAGTAGAGAATACCTAATTTAAAACATTATGAATATCAATTATTACAGAGTGGGGCAAAAGTAGGTTTACAGTTGTGAGTACATGAAACACAGAATTTATTTCTATATTATTTATTAATTATTGTATTATTTCCCATATGGACAACTGTAAGCCTACTTTTGCCCCACCCTGTATATTGACTTGGCTTCTAATGTTAGCAAATACATATTTGCTTTTTAAATGCTTAGTTGTACAAACTCCCATAGTTTCAAGGTGCTTTCATGGCCATTGTAAACTTTATTTCTGTTCCAGTTAGCCCCACAAAAGTAGTACTTTTTGGACCAGTCTCCATTGCTTACTGTGTTTCTATCTCCTCATTGCCAGTTATTATCAGGCTACCACAATATAGCAGCTCTTTAACCATTCTAATTTTCTGATTCTGATCCACTGCACATGGAACATCTGAAAGCCAGCACTGTTAAGAAAAATGAGTAATTTTTCTAAAGGAAATGTGTGAAGTATGAGATCTTTACCATATGGAATTATAATGTCTTTTTTTTTTCCATATTCTATGATTATTTGATGCATTTCAACCAGCTGAGATTTCTGTAAGAGCAGTATGAAGGTAGCTTACACATTCTAGTTATGACATTTTTAAGTTAACATTTTAGTTTTTCTTTACCCCCTTCTGGTTTGGTTATATTTTAACAATACGTACTGAAACTATTGTTTTATTTACCTTGTTACCTTAAAATCACTAAATTGTGATAAGTACTTATTTTCTAGAAAGCAACCTAGTTAATGTATTTATATTTTAGGAGGAAAATATTTTTATGCCTCAGATCAAGCTGTGAACAATGGCCTCATTGATGCATTTGGGGCCCTTGCATCAGGAAACACCGCCACTTCCCAGAAGCCTCTTCAGGTCTGAGTACCTACTCCTCAGGTTTTTGTGTTTGCATTTAGCCATAACCAAGAAAAAATATTTTGATTGTTATAAGTTTTGAGTTCTCTATTTCTCACAAACTAAATTGTTAATTAAAATCAAAACTTAAGTATGAAATAGAAATTATTCTTTAGATATGGCCAAATTAAATAGTAAAATAGTGAAGTAAATAGTAAAATATCACATATTTTTCTTTTCACATAGAGTTTGGTTACAAGATAATATCAAAATGTTAAATTTTTCCATTAATAATAGACTTTGTCCAGTAATATTGCATCCACTTTTCTATGAATGCATAAAAAATATCTCATACTTCTAAGATTTCTCTCACCCTTAACTGTAGTGAAATAAATTTAAATTAGATGAATGAACTCAAGAACTTGGTTTGGAAATGAAAGAAAAGTATCTTAGAAAGAAATTTATCTGAAGGGAATGAATAATCATTACATATCTAAAAATTTAGGGTTTCCTTTATGTTTTCAACCATTCTTTTCACTATTTTTCTGTTTTATTTCCCTCTCTTCTGAACTCAACTCCTTTTTCCATCCATGTTTAAATAAAACTCTCATTTTCTGTTATTTAGAATCAAAATCTTTGACTAAACTTTGTTTCTTTATCCATGGCCCATGTGAAATGTCAACACAGTCTATTTCCTTGAAAGTATTTTTTACAACATTATGTTTTTATCCATGTCCATTCCCACCAAGCCTGTATCTTGTCACCTTATGTGAAGACTTACCTTCCATCTTCCCATTTGTTAGGTCACTGCCTACTTTAAAACTTGACATGATCACCTGAACAAACCTATTTTCCTCTTTAGTAGATGTTGGGACATTAAATGGAATATTCCAAAGGAATTTTAATTATAATGCAAGATGTGGAAACTCAGACATAAAAAAAATTTGCATACAGGAAGTGCCAAAGTTTGAAAAATAAACTTCTTAAATTGTATGGAAGGGGTAGAAAGGTTTTGTTCCCCTCACTTAAAATGGCAGCCAGAATATAGAGGAAAGGGCGTGTCTCACTCTTTACTCAGTTATTTTTTTCTACTACTATATAGCCAAATCCTTCTAACTTTCTTACATGTTCCTGATGGATCATCTAAAAAAGTCACTTACTTTCAGATTTAACTTGATAATAATACTTTATCCAGTCAAAGACATGTCCACTTCACATAGGACTGAGATTTTTGTCACTGCAATGATGTTTCAATGGTATAGAATTCGCTATCTTCTCTCAGAACTGATATGGAGGTATTTCTGGTTTAAGACTGAGTTTGAGCAGAAGTGGAATTTCCCATCATTTTCTGAAATGACACATCTATGGAAAGCACCTTCTTGGTCAGTAAAGTCTGCTGCCCTTAACTAAGAGCCATCCTCAAACTCTTGAAAAACTTTCTTTGAGGCTCCTCTCAGAGAAAGGTACTAACATTCACTTCTGAAGGTCCCAACCTTCATAAACATCATTTTGCCCTCTTTGCACTCTTCTTGGACATGTTTATTGTCAAGGGCTACTCACTCTAAAATAAGAGGGCTTCCCTACCCCTAAGAGCCCCCCAAGCTACCACTGGGGGAAATAAGTTGCTCCAGACACTCTCTGTCTGCCAGGAAAAGGGGGTGGCGATTCCCTCTAGTGGAGAATGCCCCAAGCCCTTCTCTTAAAGTGGCTTTTATTGAGAACGAAATGCGCAGGGGCATACAACATACATGCAAGGCCTATCAATCTGTATCAAAAAGACTATAGGTAATAAATTGAAGAAATACAGAGGTTTGTCTTAAATCAAGGTCTGTCAGACAAGTGGGCACCAGATGCCCATTAAGGCAGTTTTCGGGGCTCAGGAATTATCTCCATACTGTAAAGTAAAACACCTGGTTTTTCCTTATCAGGGCAGTGCAAACCAGAGCAAACTTCAGTGATTATCTTGTATTTTTTAGGCCAGATTTCCCAGGGGACCCTCAGTGTTAGTATTGGTCCACGCCCCTCTCAGCATTGCTGGCTTTCCAGTCGAGGTTTACAGGCAGGGGGCCTAGCTCACACAGGGCTACCATTCCCCATGCCAAATAAACTGGTCCCCAACACTAAAATGTGTGAAAAATTATTTGAAGATTTCCCATCAAAAACATGTCCATGAGTGCTTGTCCCATTATTTGCTAGTCCTGGCCTTACTGAGTCTCTGCACACATACTGGAGCCACCATTAATAAGCATTTTCCTTTAGGTCATAAAGTTGGGTAAACTGAGGATAACTCTCTCTCTCACACACACACATACACAAACCTGCTGCAGCTCATTCTCCTTTGATGTTTTAGCACCCTCCCATGCTAAAGTCTCAGGAGGGTGTTTACAAAAACAACTGAGAAAATATAATATGGCCATGTCTCCCACTGTAAAACACATTCTCCTGCTCTAATGCTTTTACTATACTCTGTCCTTTCCTCAGACCCCACACATCCATGCTTTCTAACTAACAACTGTCACATCCCAATCAGCTCTCAGAGAGATAACAAGCTTAAGGAGGTACTACCTATAAAAGCTTGTTCTCGGGCCAGAAATTAAGAACTGTTTTAAAAAGAATAAAGAATAAAATTACTCTTTTCTCCAGTCAATAACTTTAAAAAATACATTTATACAGCTTGAAAGTAAGGGATTAACGCTCAGCAATAACACCTGGATGAATGGAACTGTAATAATTGATAGCACTGTGGGAAAGGACACGTTCTTTCTTGTCACGTGGAAAAGTCAGCCTCCAATGATTTCTCTGTGGGATCCCAGTGGAACATCAATGGGAAATTTCACAGAAGACCCAGCCTCCAAAATGGCCTATCTCAGTGTTCCAGGAATTGCAAAGGTAAGCAATGAGCTTTTGGATTTCCATGAAAATCTGTTTTATAACTTAAAATATATTGTTTAATATCATAAATGTGAGTACCAATACTTGTATCATCTTTAAAATTAAGATAAAATATAAGGTACTTCCTATGCTGGTATGGTCCTGAAAATTATGGTGGCAGGAAAAGGAGGAAAGAACTTCTACATTAGGAGGAAGGAAGAGAAGGGAAAAATTTGGGTAGACCAAGAATAACTTTGAGGAGGCAATGTAGGGAACCTGCGAAACACAGCATGTAGCTAGTCATTCCTTATTAGCATTGCCAGATCATAGATCTGTGAACTTCGAGGTCAAAGAAGAAGGCTAAGAGCAAGGCAAACTTTCTAAAGCTTATCTTTCCCAGCTAAGATTTGACAAAGTTGGGACATGGTGCATGACAATAGCCAGGATGCCCTGTCCAAATTGCCTCAACTCTCATCCTTTTACCTCAAAAAACCTCAAAACCCTGTTTATTCTGCAACACATTTCTAAGATTTATTTTAGAGTTGAATAATGGGAATGCAGAAAATAGCTTGATCTTGGATACTTATGACATTTCCATTGAATTTTTAGGTGGGTGTTTGGACTTACAGTCTTCAAGCCAGAACGAACCCAGAAACATTAACTATAACAGTTAATTCTCGGGCAGCAAACTCTTCTGTGCCTCCAATCACAGTGAATGCTAAGATGAATAAAGACACAAACAGCTTCCCCAGCCCAATGGTTGTTTATGCAGAAATTCTCCAAGGGAATATACCCATTCTTGGAGCCAACGTGACTGCGTTCATTGAATCAGAGAGCGGAAAAACGGAAGTTTTAGAACTTTTGGATAATGGTGCAGGTAATTTACAGAGTTTTTTTTTTTTTAAAGAATAAGCTTACATTTTCATAACTCAGGATATGTTATGGGTCCAGCAGTAGTGTGGGGGAGTGAAAGACACCAATAAAATTGATGCAGACTATGGATGAACAGCAGGACCAGCAGGAAATTCTATCCAGGTAAAACCTACAAAGTGATTAGCAAGTGTCTCGCACAAAATAACACTCAATAAATGTTATTTACTATCATTATTGTTTCTCATCTAGACGATCAATGTCTATCACCAGATAGAAAGGCCTCATTCAAGAAACTGGGGACAGCATCTAGAATTCTGAACAAGTGTTTCTTAGGGGCACATCATCAAGGAAGTCTGGCCAGAGAGAGTGAAGCTCAGCAGCCATAAGTGGTTAAGTCGTAGAACCTGGGCCCCCAGCAAAGAAGGGAGGACAGGCACGAGTAATTCCCACACTGCAAATATAATCCTGGAAACTGAGGCCCAAGGGCAGGCAGAACTGCCATGAGAGAGGAGGGGACATCACAAGGGCATCAGATACCAGGTCTGACTGGCAGGAAACAAGACACAGTGCTGGCCATGCTGTCTCCATGCTCTGTATGGATGGGTGGTGCTTAAAGACTTTTCCATGGACTCTGGGTTATTCTGGGAACTGAACCTTCTTTTGAGAGTTCAGGGATCGAGGAAAAGAACGGTTTGATAGACATCTAAATTATCACAGATCTCTATCAGTATCTTATGCAATGTAATTCATTCCATCAATTTATAATCCTATCATCAACAAGAGTTGGCCCTATGATAAATTTAGAAGGTAAAATTATTCTTTTTGGGTCACCTCAGTGACTTCACCTGATATGACAGTATTTTCCTCAACTATCCTCTAATTCTTCCTTTTCCACCACCCCTTCCATGCTATGTAAACTCACCTGCATCTTGTGATGTGGCAAGGTTTTCCCAGGTGGCTACTTAGCTAATTTGAAATGCCTTTACCTAAGAATATATCGGTGGTTACCAATGACTTGGAGCAGGGGTTTTAAACTTCAGATAACACAGGAACCACCTGAGGGGCTTGTTATAACAGAATGCTGGGCCCTTCCCTATGAAGTCTAAGAAATTTGCGTTTCTAATGCAATCCAGAGAGATGCAGATGCTGTGAGTCCAAGGACCTCTTTTTAAGAACCTCTGTCTTTGAATGTTAAATGCCCTGAGAAATGTGGTTGCAATTTATCAAATAAATTCAGTACTTGTAATATCAAGAAATATGATACAGTATTCCTGAACTCCCCTAATAGTTTATTCTAATAATAGATGGGTCTTTCCACGATCAGACCAGGAAGTTAATGGATCATAGAGCAAGAAGTGAGGATTAAAAAAGAAAAGTAGGAGGAGGAGATTATGTCAAAATAAGTGATTTCTAGATGATTTGGCTGAGAAACCATGAGAGTACTAAAATAATCTGCATATAAGTTGATTAGATGAATGTATTTATTATGCACACATAGGTATCAGTGTATATATGTGTATATTATATATTATAAAATATTATATATAAATATGTATATATTATATATAAATATATAGATCATAAATCAGGGATATCAATTTAACAATATACAGGTTGATAGTGCATAGTGGAAATACTCTCCAAGGGGTCAATCACAAAATAGGAGCCCAGTCTAAGGAATATGCTCACAAAGGCCATGTGCTTAACTCTAAAAATGAATAAATTTCTCTTTCTCTTTACAATAGTAATTTATTCCCTAATTTCTATAACAAGGTGCCGATACTTTCAAGAATGATGGGGTCTACTCCAGATATTTTACCACTTATTCAGAAAATGGCAGATATAACTTAAAAGTCCGGGCTCATGGAGGAGCAAGCACTGCCACACGAAACTTAAGGCATCCACCAAACAGAGCCGCATATATACCAGGCTGGGTAGTGGATGGTGAGTAGCTCATGATGTCTGAAACCCAGGGTTGGCTGGGATAACTGTGAGTTGATATGATTAAGGCTTCAAACATTTTACAACTCAAAGTACAGGTTTTCTCATTTCTGGGATGAACTTCTCAGTCATACTGGGGTTTGCCTTCAAATTAACCTATGCTTTGGTACACTGCCTGGCATCTAGTAAGCATTCAATAAAAGTCAGCCATTATTTAATTTGGAGCACCTTACTTATAGCAATAATAATATGCCAGACTTTCAACTAAGAGTAAAGGAAGCAGGCTAATATGTTATGGACCTAAGCATAAGCTAGTGGCAGTATTTATCCTTCAGATTACATGAAAGATATGTAAATGGGTAAACATTTATTTTGATTTGTATTAAGTCAAAAGATAAATGCATTGAGCTAAGTGATGACAAGAATTAAGAGTACAATCCTTGTTAATTTTCCTATGTCTCTTCTCTTATCTTGTGACTTTTAGGGGCTCTCTGTTGACAATTGGACTATAACCCAAAGTGTGATTCCTTCGCACTTGCAACAGAGAGGTGGGGAAGAGCCTGGCACAGGTGGTTAGAAGGGAACTGATAGTAATTGTCCCAGGCTTATTCCCAGCTTAAAGATAATTTGAGAAATAAAGAAATTCTTTTTTTTTTTTTAAATGCATATATTCCCATTCAGGGAAGCCTGGTCATTATCCAGTTGAATTCTACAATATCCAGGTCAGGATGCTAAAGAAAACAAATTCTCCCACCAAATGAATGCTTTTGATTTTGTTACTAAACTTAGTAAAATGTTACTGTGCATATATATATGGTGGGGCAAAAGTATGTTTGCAGTTGTTTATATGGAAAATAACACAATAATTAATAAATAATATAAAACTTAATTTGTTTCACATAGAACTGCAAACTTATTTTTGCTGCATTCTTTGTATATATTCTATATATTTAATATATATAGAATATATACTATATATTATATGTAGCATATATAATATATATACATACCTATATAAAAGGGGAGGAAAAGTGGGATGGAAGTTCATTTGAAAATACTAATAGTGCTGTGCTCATTATAAATAAGCAAATTTTTAATGCAGGGAAAATTGAAACAAATCCACCAAGACCTGAAATTGATGAGGACACTCAAACACACATGGAGAGTTTCACCAGAACAGCATCTGGAGGTGCATTTATGGTTTCAAATGTTACAAATTCCTTGCTCGATCTATACCCACCAAGTCAAATCACAGACCTTGAGGCCACACTTGATGCAGATGTGATCCAGCTGACATGGACAGCACCAGGAGATGATTTCGATGTTGGGAAAGGTAAGGGTGAATTGTCACACAGCTTTGATTAAGTGACTGATACTCATGCAAAAGCAAGGGTAAAAGGGTGGGTGGGAGGAGAACAACTTTTAACTGATAACTCAGTCATGTATTAAATTTATAATCTGATATTTTTGAATCAATCAAATATGACACATTTTAACTGGCCCTACTTCAAACAAAGACGGTAGTAATGGCAAAGTTTAAAAATGAAAATTCAGCCTATATTGAAAAATTAGTAAGGCTTTGGACATGAGTATAAACTTGGCATAACTAAACAATATTTTTAAGGAAAATGAATAAAAAGGAATTTAACATGGCATGCTCTAGTTGCTGAACTTCAGCTACCTTTTTGTTTTTCCTCAGTTGAACAGTACATCATAAGAATAAGTGAAAGCATCCTGGAACTAAGAGACAATTTTGATAACGCTCTGCAAGTAAACACTAATGATCTGTTACCAAATGAGGCCAACTCTAAGCAAAACTTTGCATTTAAACCAGGAAGTATCTCAGAAGAAAATGCAACCCACGTATTCATTGCCATTCAAAGTGTGGATAAAAGCAATTTGACATCAAGAGTATCCAACATTGCACAAGTAGCTTTGTTTATTCCTCAGGCAGATCCTGATGAAATTCATCCAAATCATCCTAATTCTGGAATTAACATTTCTTTTTTGGTGTTGTCAGTGGTTGGCTCCGTAGTAATTGTTAGTATTATTTTAAGTGTCACCATTTGTATCTTCAACAAGAAAAGAAATTCAAGCAGACCTAGAACAGGGTTTTAGAATGCATCAACAATGAGAGTGAAGATTATTTCTGAATTTTTAAATTCATCCCGTGTGATCATGAAGTCATAAACATAATTTTAGGAGTTCTAAGAGGAATGCTTCAAGTATAAACATCCAGGGGTATTTGAAAAATTGTAAGTCAATGCTAAAGTTTAATCAGTTTATTTACTCATTGTTTTGCACATGAGAAAAAGTGATGAATAAACACCATTTTTACATTAACACCAGGTTAAGTATTATTTGGTACAAAAGCTGTCTACAATAATAATTCAAATTTCATAAAAATGTTAAAAATTATCTGTGTGAATAGTCAAATACAAGTGTAAGGAAGCAAATAAACTCCGTTTGAGTAAAAATGAATTAGGTCATAGAAGTTATAGCTGTAATCTAATGTTATTGTATTCATACAAAGTTTCCAACTATATACTACTAAATACAATATAAATAAAGTCATGTTTACTGCAATTCATCGACATGGAATATACTAGCAAAAAAAAATCAGTTACCACTGGTCAAACCATAGTTTCAATTATTTCAGTTCAATATAATCACATATATTTTTAGATAAAAAAGGATACTAAAATTTTAAAAATATTCAATAATCACTGAGTCATAGCCTACAAGTCACAACCATAGTAATGAATGAGACCGATTAAAAGAGGAAGTCAGTGGGGAGAGCAGGTTCACATGGTTGGCCACGACCAGGCCTGCCAGAGACCCTAAAGATGCAAACAAAATGAAACGCAGAGCCCGTACCTACGGACCAACTACAGTGTCAAAATAATTTTAATTCATGGCGTAGGTGGACTTAGGAGTCCAGTTTTACGAGCATATGGTTACCTGTTCTTCCAACTAGTGGTCATCTCACGTTGCACAGAGAGTTCTGCCACCATAATTCAATTCCCTGAGGAACCTGAGAAACACAAAGATCAGCTTCCATTTGCTTCCTTTATCTATTGTAACTGTAGCAGGAATCATTTAAAGGTTTGGAAGCTACCAAAATGAAGGCCACATAAACCAAGTCCTGGGATTCCTTTTAACAGTCTAAACATAGAAGAGACTTTTTGACCTGATAGAACCAGTTTGGTATGATGAGCAGGGTTGACACAAAGGGCCTAGTGGTTTAACTTGCAAGTAGTAAAGAAGCAAGGGAAGAGGAAATAAGGAGGAGATCCCCAATTCCTGGTACAGTTGAGTTACTCTCTTAGCAATCTTTGGAAAACAAGTTGTGCAGTAGGGCATTTGCACACAGTGCCGTTGAAGCAGGAGGTCTGTTTGCACTTTAGTTCTTCTAGGGAGCTGGCACCCACTCAGTCAGTGCTGATGGCTATGGGCGAACAACTGAGTGTGGAGAAAATGTAGAAAAGGGATAAGTGTAGGATACCTGGCCTTCTTTGAGAGGGGGATGAAAGCCTGAAATTCTGTGTTGACAATAGAAATAATACACAACAGCTATATTTTCCTTGTGTTTTCTTGTGTCCTTCCCACCCATCCACCACCAGCTCTAGCAAAGCCTATCAGCCTGGTCGCACTTACCCTCCAGGATGCTTTAGTGCAATAGCTATGCTCAGGTGGGTTTCAGGAATGGGTTCTCCCCCTCCAGGTCAGGCATTGACTTAGATCAATTTCCAGGACTGCATTTAGTAGCTAATTGTGAATTAGTAAAATTCAGAAAAATAACTGAATGATTATCACTGTTGTAGTCCCTGTTCAAATGAGACTCCATGTTCAAAAATTAATAAGAATTTCCAGGTGGCAACAGCAATTAAACCAAGTATAGGACGTTCTAAGCATGTCAATACAAGTGCATATCTCATGCCCACTAAGCCACCCTCTCTCACTATGTCACAGGATCTCTCAATCTTAGACTGTGAGGTGCTTCCCATTTCAAGGAATGTCCCTTGCCACCACCCCTCCACTTTCAAGTCCTGCAGTCACATGGAAGATTCATGCTCATCCTTCAGTTCTTAGAATAGGTGCCACTTCCCTGAGAAGCATTCCTGAACTCTTCCAGGCCCCCTCTGACCGAATTCAATTCCTTTCACAGTGCTGCTGGTAGAAACAGGGTCCTTTAACAGGGTCACAGGAAAAGCATTCTGGGAGGTTCACATGTGGGAGGTTGAGGTTATATGGTAAGATTCATTGCAGAAGCAAAATCAAAGGACCGCACGTGAGTTCCCAGTATTCCATCTCTACCTGCCCGTCATGGAAAATGTTCAGACTCGTCTCCATCAGTCCCAGAAATAGGGCCTCTATCTATGCCTCTGACTGCATCTGGGTAGCTAGTCTGTGCTCCCAGTTATACTCCAGCTGCCTGTGCACCCAGGCCCACGTGGTCTGACCTGGGCTCCAGGTGGCTGCTGGGGCCACATGGCTGCCATGGGGAGAAAACACACGAGCAAATGGGTTGAGTGTGTTGAGCAAATGGGTAAGTGTATATAAGGGAGACAAAGAGAGAAAAGAGAGCTTTGTTAAGCTTGGGTTGTATTATCTCAGGCTTGGGAAGAACGAGGTGCCACTTCAATCTAAACAGGGAACTTCCCAATCTTTCCTGGGCTTCTGATGTGTCCATCCCCTAACCAATCTATATCCTAGACCTTCTGGGGTCCTGTGTCCCTTATCCAATCCGATCCTTTTCCCAGGCTAGACTGACAGGCTTCTGTAGTTGCCATCTTAGTTCCTACTGCACATGCCTCAAAGGAAAAGTGCCTCCTCCTGTGCCATCTTGCCTTCTGCTGGGCATGCACCCAGCAGAGGAATGTCTCCTGCTGTTTTTATTCCTTCCAGAAGAGATCCTTCTTGGCTGACTTGGGTAATTAGGTCCTAAGGATGGAGGATGCCCTGGGAAATGTGTGGAGCTGTAACTTTCTAATGAAGCAAGCTTGTTATCCCATTCAGATCCCAAGTTTATTATGCTTAAGAATGCCGGTTTCCCTTTGCACCCTTCCTTTATTCATATCTAGCTACCTATACTATCAACATCACCTCATTCTTACCTCTGGAGTAACACAAACTTCTGCATTTTAATTGACAATGTACTTCTACTTATCTCCCTCCAGATGGTGAGCTTCTTGAGAGCAGAGGACAAGCTCTTAGCATCATATCACCAATGTCTATCACGTTGCTCAATAAATATTTGTTAAATGAAAGCATGAAATCTGTCTTCTCCAGACTATCGGTTGTAAGGAACCAATCCCAGTGCTGACAAAGGTACCACAGAAAAGTACTAGCAACAACCTCACTTTATGAGTTCAGATCACAGGAATATAATACGATACCTCTGGACAGGAATGTCAAGTCATCCCATCTAATGAGGAAAAAGTATCTTGAACTATCTCCTCATTTTTATTGCAATAACAAAGTTGGGCTTAACATGTCCTCTTAATTAAACAGTTAAACTCCCAGTTAGCCCTCAGCCTTTATTTAGGTTGATTCAAATTTTAGAGGAATTTACTTCTGCCTAATATACTTCTCCAATCCCATTTTCTTCGACGACCCTGTTTACACCTGCCCAGGCTCTACTTTTATCCGTCAAGTCAGCTTCAAAGATATCAAGGCCCAACTCATCCTAAAGCAGCTAAAAACTTATTTCACACTTGAGAAATGCAGCCCCTCCGTACCTTGCTGTATCAGCCTGCCGCTCTTCCTGAACTCCCACATAAACAGCAACACTGATCCACCCAGCTGCCTGCATCAAACCCAGAAGTCATTTTTTTATTTGAAATTTCTGTTTCCTCTACCTGATTTTTCATGACTGACTCCTTTTCAGATCTGTTTAAATATCGTTTCAACTATCTCTGTCAACCAAGTCATAAGCAACAACTCAGTCACCAGAATATCTTGCTTTACAAAATTCTCCTACAGCTTTTAATACTACCCATGTTTAAATTTGTAATGGAATGTTAGAATGTTCATTGTTTATCTTCCTTGCTGAATGTAAGTTCTGTGACAGCTTTGACCTGCTGATTTTACTCACTTTATGAACTAAAAGTGATCCTGGTACATAGTAAATTCTCAATTATTAGCTGTTGTGTGAAGAGATAAGGGAAGAATAAACTGGTTACTCTATGTACGTTCTCTAGTATGAGAACATAAAATCAGGCCAAGGAGAGTTATTTAAAGTATTTATATTACACAACATCTTTCATGTCTTTTCCTACCCCTACCTAGAGCTTAGCACATGCAAACCTTGGCTTCCGTCATTTGCTAGATGAAGTTTTTACAAACATATACATGTAATCAGGGCCATTATCAAGACAAGCACATTCTCAGCCTCCCAGAAGTGCCCTTTCTGCTCACTCCCAGTCACTATCTCCCCAAAAGAAAAACATTATATTGACTTCTCATAGAATAGATTGTTTTTAGCTACTTACTCTATACAAATACAATCTTATACTACATATTTTTGTAACTGACTTCATTTACTCAAATGCATATGAGAGATTCATCCATATTGTATGTAGTTGTATTTTGTTGATTCCATTACATATAATCTTCTTTAATTCAACATTCTACCATTAACACTGAAGTATGAATGGATATATATATCCATTATTAATGATCATATATGCATGTAACAGAATTTATATAAAGATATCAAGAATTTTTCCTATTTTTCACTCTTTTAAAAAATGTTCTCTAAGATGGACGTTCTTATAGCTAAATTTTAATTTATATTTTTAACTAATTTGTTACTCTATAAGTAAATTCTCAGAGCTTCTGGTCAAGAGGGCAACATAAACAGACATGGCTCGCCTCTTCACACAACCACATCAAAATTACAACTAAAATATAGGACAACCATCACTCAGGAATGTCAGAAATCGAGCTGAATGGAAGTCTGACAACTATGGAATTGAAGAAACCACGTCCATCCAGACTGGTAGGACAGGTGTAGACGCAAAACCGGCTCACCCCATACCCACGTGGATAAAAATTCAGGAGGCATGTATCGGGCATGAGGAGTCCCTGACCCACACCAGACCCCCAAGATCGGG